AAATATTTCATTAATATTATTAAAACATCAATTATAGTGATTAAGCTTTTTGTTGCCACACGTATAAGGAAAGCAATAATTGTGAACAACTTTTGAACGTTTGGACGAATATAAAAATACTAACATATTATTTAGCCAAGAAATTCAATTAAATTACTTTTCAAGCAATAAAATTAGAAAAAAATACTTTTCTTTTAAAGTTATTTTCAAGATTAATTATATCTTATACATTACAAATAACTCGTTTTTTTTCAAAATTTTTTGAAGTAAAAAATTTATATATTATTCATTCATTTAAGTTTTGACTATTCATTAAGATTTGACAAATAGTTATAACAAACAAGTCATTTAAATAATTTACATTTATTTTACATAATTTATTTTCGACATTCTTAATGCAACGTATCCTTAATTTATTAGGTAGCAAAAAAAAATGTTTATTTAAATACAATACTTATTTCTTGTTGGACGGAATCTTGAAACAGGTTTAAAAACAATTTTTTAACTAAATTTTTTTTCTTAAGAGTATATTTAGTGATGCTTTAAGAAAAAACAAATCAGCTTTCTCACTGTAATAAACAACTTTTCGCGTCCTGCGTAGAAGATTAAGCAGATGAAATTTCGTAAAAAAAATGAGTTAAGCTCTTTTGTTTACACTCATGACAATCCGAGAGAAAAATGACCTCATTTTTAACGGCTGGCTTCTTCTTTTGAAAGCAGGAAACTCATTCCAAAGCCATATTTACGATCTTTTGTGGGTTTTCAATGACCATACCGAATGATTCACGAGAACTATGTAAAATATACAAATAAAGTTACATTCTGTTTTTGATTTTTGGAGGTTTATTTCGTGAACTTTTTTTTCATTCCTTATTTGAAAAAAAAAAAAAACAAGATTTATTTGATTAATTCCTTTTACAATATAGCTGCACATAAACCGACATCGAAACAACATTTTTTTACTCTGCAAGCACATCAGTATAGCTTTTTTTCTAATAAATACAAAACATAAAATGTACTTGTAGCAAGTCTATTCTCACAAGCAAAAAAATATTAACTCCAACAAACTCGTTGTGGTCAAAATAATTCAATTTTGCCAAAAATGCGTCCACAATAAACTACGTGACACGCACTCAATACAACAATATATTATATGTCTCGTTATTCAAAACCACTTTCACGGTTCGATCATTTTTTTCCTATGCAAATCCCAACCAGTGAAAAACAGAAAATAAATGTTTATACTCTCCCTCTCTCACACTCTCGCAACTTATCGATCCATCGGAAATTCAGTCGAATGTTATCGGTACTAAAATATTATCAGATTTTTTTTAGCGTCTGCTTCTGATGAAAAATCGTTTTTTTTTTTTTATATGTATATACTGTGGTTTCGTTTCTTATATTGTCGCGGGAATAGCATTTATCACCCAATGAATATGATTAAAAACAAGTTTTCATCACCTTTGCATCAAATAGTGAATGTCTATGTGCAGCTGTCAGAAACAAAAAGTATCATAAAAATAAATGCATTCCAATCGAAATTTGTCAATTAATCAATCCAACCGTTAAAGAAAAATTGAAACAAATGAACCCACACGATCCAGGAAAACATGAAACGCAAGAGTCCGTCCACTGAATCCGACACCATGTGAAAAGATAAATACAATCATCAAGCGCAGCTATTACGTCTAATTGAAGTGAAATACCAACAGTGGATTACGCGTCGGTCTCCCACATACCCCACCTGTCAATAACGCGTAATCAATCCTTATTACATACTTCACACACCCCATAACAACAACTATTAGGGCATATACCATAACAACAGCGGTAGCTCGACAACAATGCCCACCTATCCGCGTTGAATAAGACACTTTCCCGCGTTGAAATAATAAGCCCATCCAACCATACATCTGTATGTTTTTATGTAATAAATACAAGACGCACACTTTCATTCGCGCGCGTGCGGTAATCCAAACAAATCAGGAGCCGGCATCGAAACTCTATATTATATACCCGTACATTTATACTTACGCGTGCACATGCATTTCTGATTTGATATACGCTGCTTGGGGAGGTATACGATTCGGTGAACTTCTCATGGTTACACAGGGGCTCGTATTATATTATATGCTCTTAATCGCCGCTCGACGGCTCCACTGGTTTTCACACTGTGCGTATAATGCGTGGCGTTTAATTTCTACAACACGACCCTGGTGTGGTGTCATTATCGCTGGGTGTGTCTGTGTTTTTTGTTAAATTAAATTAATCAAGTTATAAAGTGTTGG